GCGCGGCGCGGCGCGGCGTGGCGGGGCGGAGCGCGCGGGGAAGCCGCGGTGACTCCAACGCGCGGATAGACGACGAACTCGCCGCACGACGCCGCCGCCAGGCGGCAGCCGCTTTAACAGGACCGGCAGGTGCCGCACGTAGACGCGCGCTTCCGCGCCCCCTTGTTCGGCGGCGGCCGCTCCGGCACGAGCAGACAGTGGGGGGGGGGAGGGGAGGGGCACGCCGCACGCGGGTGACATCTCCATTCGCCGCGCACGCTCCCGCAGCGTGCCCGCCGCACACCGAGCACGCCGCACCGCAGGTGCGCTCGCCCATTCAGCCCGCTACCACTGCCGAAACTAACTCTCGAATGTTGGACGGAATTCGAAATTAACTCATCCGGCAAATTTTAAAAGAGCAATCATTCATAAAAAAATACATTCATCTTATTTAACGTCGCATCAACATCTAGGTCATTAGCAAACACTATTGTATTTAACGGTATGTTAACTATGAAGATGGCATGATGTAGTGATGATCGAGTGGGAAAGGACCAACACAAATACGACCATGCCTGAGGCGGGACTCGAACCCGCGATACTTCGGTTCGAGATCGCTTCGGCACCACAGTCTTAACGATCTAGGCCATCCGGGCTGGCAAAATTTTCTTCCGTTTGCATTTGTACGTTAATTCTCTTGATATAATATGTTTTCTCTGGCCAATTTTCAAAGACAAATAACTTTGAAGTAAAAAGCATAATATTAAAGAAAGCGTTTGAAGTGAATAATTTATTTGTCTTTGAAAATGGCCAAAAACAACATATCACATCATAAAAATATGCAAATTAAAAAATTATCAATAGATATCTTACCAATTCACCAATACCAAATATATAACAACCCTATTACCTTGTTCGTATAACACAAGTCGGGTCAGTCGCGGACTCAACAATAAATTGCAATGTAATTGAAGTTTTTTATAATGATAAATATATTTAAATTTTCTGTGTGTTCCTGTTAAAATATTTTACGTGTTTGAAGAGCATATATTTTAGAACATTTACTGTAACTGGGGTCCCTATCAAGGGTTCACAGGAGACCTAGAGCTTTTTTAGCAAGTTGTTCAATATTCATTTTTTTCTCAAAATGCTCTTCTGTTCTCTACATTACCGTATACTTAAGGAAGGTAACACCATATTTATAGTCAAGGCTAACTGTAAGAGAACGCCGGAATTTCCACGAAGCTATTACGCATGGCAACGGTTTCTAATTGTATTGCAAATATCGGATGAATATTGAAAGACAAAACTATCAGGGTTCAGAAAAGTGTAATAGTTGTAAGTGATGAAATACTAATTTATTTCCTAAATAAAAACAAGTTCATTGGGGTTCGGCCTCATCCCCTTCTTAATCGGTACGACACTATTAAAACACGATTTTTTAAACTTTCATACAGCCTTTATTATTTTCTTATTTCTTATTCAGTCGTACATTTCAACGCTTTTAAAAAATAAGTAAATATTTTTCCACGTATTAAGTCTAAATATTCTAAAGACGATTTACAACCTCCATAACTTCCTTAGCTGTATTCCCATCCATTTCCTTCGGTTTCAACTAACAATATCTCTATTTCCTAGTTTAATTTAAATTAATCATAACATTTTACTGAAGGATTCTGCCTGAATTACTTTAGTTTTTTATCTCCCTTCATTATAAGTATCCAAAATTCTTATTGTACTTTTGCTCATAACTACTACTGCTCACCACCTCCGTAATTTTCTAAGTAATATTTCCATCAATTTTCTTTTGTTTCATCTTACAATACCTCTAAGGTCAACGGTTTAATTATTTTGGCTTTCCGTGGTATCATTTGCATATCTGTTCACGTATTGTTTTTGGTAAAGGGACAACTCGGATAATAAAGTTAATCCCTCCTCAGCAGATCACCGTCAGTAAAGTATGCGCATTGAACTAACTATTCAAAGAAACTTCATCATACTCTGCACTCACAATTCCTATTTAATTCCGTCATGTATATATTACATCATGCTTTAATATTGCAAATAAAATTTAATATTACAGCTAAATATTGTGTTAGGCACGTCTGTCTTGTTTACTGAATAATCTGGCTGGATATCTTTAATTTCTACTCTCGTCTTCATTATATATTTCAAAATTCTTATTTGCCTTTACTGTAATACCACTCCGTAATTTTCTAAGTAATCATTTCCATCAATTTCTTTTGTTTCATTTTACAATATCTCTATTCTCTTATTTTTTTCAAATTAATTCTGAATAATCCTGGCTGGATATCTTAATTTCTAACTCTCTCTTCATTATATATTTCAAACATTCTTATTTGCCTTTACTGTATACGCCACCTCCGTAATTTTCATGGATCAATTTTCTTGTTTGTTTCATCTTACAATATCTCTATAATACTTACTGCACTTTTTAAGAATTTTCACCCGAAACGATCTTGCCCGGATGTCTTTAGTTTCTGTTCTCTCTGTATTTTTATATTTCAAAAATTCCCTATTGTACTTTTTGTAGTAACAACCATAAAAATGTTCCAGTCAGCTCCAGTCGTCTGAAGACAAACTAACGCGAACAAGGAACAGATATTTTAAAAAGCTGCGCTTGGCCTCGGGCGTGCCTCGCGCAAAAGACACCGCCGGAGTCCCACAGCGGGCGCGGGAGGGGGCAGCGGCCAAAACGCAGCACACTGGTCGTAAATTGCCGGCGATGCGGGAACCCGGCGGCATTGTGGGAGCGCGCTTGGGCGGCGAAGACAGGATGGCGGGCACGATATCAAATGCCGATAGAACCAGGGACGGAGAGGGCGCGGCGGCCGGCACAAGGAAGAAGCGATATCAACGGCGTTGGCACAGGGACGGGGTGGGCGCGGCAACGTCCGAGAAGAAGGATATCAACGGCATGTAACCAGGGAGAGAGGGGCGGCGCCGGCCGCAGGAAGAGGAGAAATATCAACGCGTTGGAACAGAGTGGGGGGTGCCGCGGCACCGCGCGACGAAGGAGGTATCACGAATGGAACCAGGGACGGGGAGGGCGCGGCCCCGGCCGAGGAAAGAAGAATACTAACGGCGTTGGAAACCAGGGACGAGGAGGTGCGCGGCATAGGCCGAGGAAGAAGGATATGCAAGCGCATGTAACCAGGGACGAGAGGGCGCGGTCCTGGCCGAGGAAGAAGGATATCAACGCGAATGGAAACCAGGGACGAGAGGGCGCGCATCAGGCCGGGAAGAGAGGATTCAAACGCGTTGGCACTCAGAGACCGGGGAGGGCGCGGCATAGCGCGGGACAGAAGGATTATTCAACGCGTCGGCACTAAGAGGACGGGGGAGGGCGCGGCATAGCCGAGGAAGAAGGATAATGCAACGCGTTGGCCCAAGAGACGGGGAGGGCGCGGCATGGCCGAGGAAGAAGATATCAAAGCGTTGGAACGCAAGGGAAGGGGAGGGCGGCGGTCGCTGGCGGGAAGAAGGATATCAAAGCGTTGGAACGAGGGACGGAGAGGGACGCAGCACTGGCGCGAGGAAGGAGGACTATCAAACCGCGTTGTGGACCCAGGGACGGGGGAGGGGCGCGGCACTGGCCGAGGAAGGAGGGATATGCAACGCGTCTGGGAACCAGGGGACGCGAGCAGGCGCGCAAGCACTGTTGGCCGAGGAAGGAGGATATCAACCGGCGT